ACATTCTCCCTCTCCCTTTCCATTTCCCTTCTACTTTCATCTCTAGTTCTGTTTCATTCTTTTGTCTCTGCTACCCTTTCTTCTCCTTCTCATTTGCCATGGCTTTGCACTTCTTTGACGCACTTTTTCAGTTCTCTCTCCGTTTTCTTTTTTCCCCTTCCACCCATCATTTCCACCCGTCCTTCCATCCATCATTTCCACCCGTCCTTCCATCATCCTGCTTCTCTTAGTGGGTGGTTGGAGGGCGCCAGTGGTAGGTCTTCTTTGCTTTCCCCTCTGTTGTTTCTATCTGTCTGTCTTACTTTTTCCCAGCACTAAATGACCATTATTATCGATGTGCTTCTCTTTACTCAAACAAACAAAGCTTCTCTTAGATTTCTTGAGTATTTTTGAAGGTTGGGGGAGGGCAGGAGAATGGAAAATGGATGGTGATGGTGTGTTTGTGAAATTTGTTGATTTGTACCGGATGGTCTTGTCAAAATCTCGTAGAGTGGTTTTGGTAGATACTCTTCTGTTTGCTGTGATTGATTGCTGTTGCTGTGGTTTTTCACCCATTTTGACAGGATTTATGACCCTTTTGGGAACGGGAATAATTGCAACATTTGTTTTCAGAGATATTTGGCTTGGCGCTCATATGACCTTATGCAGTTGCAAGCGCCGTAAAACCCTCTACTAAAACTTTAAAAAAAGAGATATTTGGCTGAATTTGGCACCAAACCTTTAATGTGATGTGTTTTAGATATAGAAATTACGATGTCGTGTTGACATTTCAGAATTATCTAGGTTTTAGTGAATTGAAGAAGATTGTGTCTACATTTTTCTTTGCCAACATATTATATTTTGTCTTTTCATAGCACTATAACAATAATAATGATAATCATACAAAATTATAATAAGAAGAAGAATATGAATAACAACCATAGTCATAATCATAGTAGTCATAATGATAATCATCATAATAGTAATAATATAAAAATGAAAATGGTAATAGTAATAATCATGATAAAAACTGGTAATAAAAGAATGATAATGGTAAAGGTTATAATAATGAGACAATAGTGACAATGATCATATTGATAATCAGGATAATAATCAATGATGGTAATGACAATATTAATATTGCATTTATATTATACCTCAGTGCATTTTTACAATCTTTTCTTAAAACACAGCTATCGTTTAACGAATTGTGATTGGTTTGAGGTTATAGGCTTTTTGATCAATGTCTAGATACAGAGGTCAGATTGTAAAAACTTTGACGACACATGTAATGAAAGGGAGATTATAAGTTATAAGTTTTGACATTCAAGTTTTTCTCTGGAATCCTTACAAGAAGAACTGAGGTCACTCTCGACTGTTTCCACGACTTTTGACTGTAGGTCCAGTAATAATAATAATAATAAATAGAATTTGTACTGCGCTTTTCCATTTTCTTAAAAAATGCTCAATGCGCATTACATCGAAAAAGACATCAGATCTTAAAAATTAATCGACATGCATGTACGTAAAACAAAGTATAATGCACATAATATATAATATCTATGTATATGTGTGAAAATTTCTATGAGAAAAACAGTCTCGCAGTGAGGTTGGAAAGAATTGAGGACTTTTTGAGAATGGGAATAATGAAGGGCTGATGGCAGTCTCTGGTCCTGGGCTGAGAACTGAAGGGTTTGACTTTGGAGATAATATTTTAATAATCATTTGTCTTTCTGTCTCTAAGACACAAAGTCTGCGATGAAAGAGTCCAAGACGACCTTGACCGACGCTGGGACTCCGGCAGACAGCAACGTGAACCAGAGCCGTGCCAGTCAGTTGTCTCTTGGGGACCGGTCTTCTGCAAGGTCGTCTTTGTTACAGGTGAGGATAGGGTGGCTGGCAGGTGCTCTGCTAGGTCTTCTTTGCTACAAGTGGGGGGTAGTTGGTTGGTGGGTGCTCTGCTAGGGTCTTCTCTCTTACAGGTGAGGATAAGGAGGTTGGTGGGTGCTCTGCTAGGGTCTTCTCTCTTACAGGTGAGGATAAGGAGGTTGGTGGGTGCTCTGCTAGGGTCTTCTCTCTTACAGGTCAGGATAAGGAGGTTGGTGGGTGCTCTGCTAGGGTCTTCTCTCTTACAGGTCAGGATAAGGAGGTTGGTGGGTGCTCTGCTAGGGTCTTCTTTGCTGCAGGTGGGGGGTAGTTGGTTGGCAGGTGCTCTGGTGTGGTTTGCTCCTTTTCTCCTATGAAGAATCTATCGTCCTTATCTCTCCTCATTCTTTTCTTTGTATGTAACTCTTGTTGTAACACCTCTAATACCCCCCGGGGCAGTGCCACTGACTGTAGTGTCTTTAGGCCATTCCCAAAGGGGTGGACATTTCTCATTCAAGCACAGTAGAATTGTAAATGGGCTGATTCATGTCACGCTCATAACTGTGCCTGATCTACAACAGGGAACTGCTGCTTTTTCTTTCCTAATCCTTACTATTGTCATTTTTCCTCTACTTCTTTTGTATGTTTGTCACTCTCTTGTGACCTGCTATTTCCGGGGTGCCTTGACAGTCAAAGCAGACCTTGTGCTGTTGAAGCTAGAGAGGTGAGCAGAATAAGCCTGATTCCCTGTAAAGACTTTTCTGTTGAAATCCACCCCTTGGCGCTCATATGACCTTATGCAGTTGCGAGCGCCGCAAAACCCTCTACTATAAAAAAACCCACCTCTAATATTCAGCTCTTATATGACCTTTTGTGTGTTGCAGGTGCTGTAAAACTTTTTAAAAATGATCTAAATCACCTCAGTTGGGATGTTAAACATTTACAATTCCAATTCCACC